CCCCAAAACCCCAAAACCCCAAAACCCCAAAACCCCTAGCTACTTATTTGGGATTGAAAAATTAGCTATCAAAATGGAAAATAAAACTAGCTCAGAAGTGCTTTCTCGCACAGAAATCAACCAGCTATCAAGAGCTGGAAGAGCCATTGTCATCTTTGAAGGCGAAGTCTATGATGCCACTGATTTCAAGGGCACACATCCAGGAGGGCCTAAATTTATTGATGATTATGTGGGAAAAGATATGACAGAAGTTTTCTATGAAGAAGAACATACTAAGATCGCCCTAAGAATGCTAAAAGATATGAAAATTGGTACCCTAGAATTTTCCAATAGCGACCAAGTCAGCCAGGACACTGTCACCTCTCACTCAAGAATGGAAGAGATTGAGGGTGAGGAATGGAGAAAGAAGGTAAACCCTAAACTAGGAACAGTCTGGCAAGTGTTTACTAACCTGGACCATGAAGAGTACAACAGCTTTATTAATGACCCTAAGCACCTTACACGTCCTGGAGATGAACATATAATGTTCGCTAACCCTGTGCTGGAGTTTTTCTCGAGAACTCCTTGGTACCATGTAGCCCTATTCTGGACCCCCATTGCCTTGTATAAGCTTTATCAAGGATCTTTTGAGCTGTCTCTTTTAGAATATCTGATGACGATATTATTTGCTATAGTCAGCTGGACTTTTGCTGAATACGCATTGCATCGTTTTATCTTTCATATGGAAGTTTGGATGCCTGATAATGCATATCTTCGTACGCTCCACTATATCTTCCACGGTATCCATCATTCATTCCCAATGGATCCGGATAGGTTAGTGTTTCCTGTGACACTAGGGTTTATCGCATGGCAAATCTTTCACTTTGCATGGGTTCATATCTTTCCAGCATGCATGATCAACACTTATGCAGGCGGATTTTTGATGTCATACATGTTATACGACCTGGGCCACTACTACTTTCATCACAGTCAACCTCTAAAGATAGTGGAGTACCGTAAGAAATATCATATGTATCATCATTACAAGGATCCAGATAATGGCTATGGAATCTCAACTAGCTTCTGGGACCAAATTTTCGGTACAGAACTCAACATGGCTAAAAAGCAAAAGTAATTATAACCTTTATGGTAACATAAGGGTCATAATCAAGAATCAATCATAATTAAGAAAAAGGGGTTTTGGGGTTTTGGGGTTTTGGGGTTTTGGGGTTTTGGGGT